ACGATACGTGAGAGACGAGGGAAAAACCATCCTCGTCTCTCGCCCCGGCGGTGAGAGAGAATCCGGCGGTTGCGTCACTCACTCACCGCGCGCATGGATGTCTCACGGCGATCGTTGCGACGATGACGTCATATCGCGGCTGTTACCGATCACGTTTTTTTGGGGGGAAGAGTGGGCGGATTTGTTGTTTTCGGTAATTAATTTTCACACACCGACGAAAATACAAAGACTTCGCACAGCTTCCGAGTGATAAAAGGATTCTCTGTAGGAAGTCGAACTCTTTTTTCGGGTAGAAAGAAAACAGATGACGCAATCGCATCATTTTTCGATTCATTTCGATTTGCGTAAAAACTCCGGCGTAAACATCGATCGTTTTTTACCGAACTTCTTTCGTTACAATCTGATATTTTTATAATGCTTTGCGTTACAATGTTTAAGCTCGGCTGAAGAATTGGATAGGCGGAGTGATCGACGTTTCTGCCAAGAAAAATTGGCTTCGCTTCAAATTGGCTAAAGAATTCGCGTACATCCTGGGAGCGTATTTTTTTTTAAGCCTGAAAATCTATTAAACATTACGTAATAAATCGTAAAAATAAAGAGAATGTTGTGCGCGACACGCAATTGCTTTTCGTTATTACTTTTCGAAGAGAGGAATCGCTTTTGCACAAAGAAAACACGCGTTGAAAACCGAAAAGCGATCGTCGATGAGTGGCGAGTTATGTAACTCATCACGTTCGCCGATGTGTTTGTGACAAGAGAGAGAGAGAAAGAGATTGGAGGGGGGGATGATGAACGCGTTTTTATTAAATCCAACAATGTCACATTGCTGACTTCTGTGAGAAAACAAAGGGGATGAAACGCTACGTGTAATCACCGGCGAGGATTTGATCGAAGTCGTTCAGAGAAATCGTTAGATGGGAAAGAAGAAAGAACGGAGAAGGGTGTACGCACAAGGTGAACGCGTATGTGTGTACGCGCACGCATGTGATTTCGGCCCACGTGAAAATACTCACGCCAGCGCCCGATGACGTCACGCGTCTGCGGGACGGTCACGAGAGGCTGGCGCATCGCCAGACGCGCGATTGCACGACGTAATGTACATAATATTCATCTTATTATCCTTCGGCCCAAAAGACGGGGGCCACTTCGATGAAAACGGAGTGACAGCTATTTCCGCGATAGCCAGCTGTTGATACATTGCGTTTACGCATGCGTTGCGAAAAATGTTGAGAAAAAATGTATCATTTTGCAACTCGATGTATTCAAGAATCGTTCGAGGAAGCAAGTCGGAGACAAAAATAGAGGAAGCGTCTTGCTGAAAAAGTTTAATTTAATTTTAATTAAATTGATTAAATTGTTTTGATAAGATATAATCAATGTCAACAACTTTCATTCATTTGCGTCGTTCTTATCAGTTCGGAAGAACAAAGACGATTGCAACTTACGCGATCGATAAATACGACAGTGACGCATTAATCCGTAATTAAAATTGTTATGATACCTGATAAGTGAGTCATGCACTTACTTGAGGTAATTCAAGCAAATTAAGAGGAGCATCACTTGGTTCTCAAGATAAGTCGTCATCTTTTCGTTCAACATTGATTCGCGTTTCACGTGTTTATTTATTATTTATTTTAGTGGATTGGAGTACGAAAATAGAAAATTGTGGTTTTTGTATTATTTAATAAATAAATACGCTTTGAATTTCTCAAATTGCTCAATACACCGATCGAAGATGTATTTTTGGACGTGTGTGAGATATTTAATAAATAACAAAAACCGCGATTATTTTCGCACGAAGTCAATCAATTCGAGAGAAAAATTATTTTATTTTAACATTGTTACAAAATTATTATTTCACGCTACCAGATAGAAGTTTTCTTCTGTATGAAATTATTCCAAGCGCACGCACAGTTTTGTAGAATTTATTTTGTTTGAAGGAGATTCAATTTTACGATTATCTTACCTCACAATTTTACATGCGCGCGTGTGTGTGTGTGTGTTTTACTTTGCCCCTGAGATACAATACAATCCTTTTCGCTCCCGTTTGAACGGCTACTCGCGCGCGCGTCATCCTCATTTGCGCGGAAAACATCTCGTCGGGAGAATAGCAATTTACTATTTTTACGACGCGGTTGTTATCTATATCTCTAGACAAATCTCTCGTGCGCTAGCTGTGCCGTTGCACACGAGACGCAATTCTCGTTGCGGCTTTCGTCAGACGACGAAACTATTCTCTTCTGGTAAGGCCAGGTTACGTGCCTCCGCGCACACCCACCGAATCGACCAATCGCGAGCCGCCGACGAGACCGGGTGTTCTCCGTTGTAGCGAACTGAATTCCCGCAGAGAGACCGCGTCCCGATTCTTCCCGCGACGAGTCATCTTCAACGCGTACGTGTATTTTGCGTTTTTTTCTCGACGCAATTGCGTCAGACGCTTTATAATCTAATAAAAAATTTATTTTTTCTGCAACTCCGATCGCACGCGTCCTCGGCGAGCAATGGGAACCTCTGTCGATCGATACGTTCACCCATAGGTAAAGACTTGCGTCATCGTGGAAACGCCGATCGGGAGAGCAAACCTTCCTTCACCTGTTGAAGGCGCGCGTAACGGCGCGCGACATTGCGTGAGAGAGACGTATAATACAAATTGCTTCTGTATGTAAAAGTTGCATTTGTGTCTCTAATAGACACAAGCGGACAAAATAAAGTGTAGTAACCTTGGCGTGATTTACGAGGAACGATTGATAAGTGTCCAAAGTAAACGGTCTCGGTGACACTTCTGAGGATGCAGCTTAAACCGTCGCGACGGCCAAAATTCACGCGAGTCGGCGCCTTATTCGTCAGATTTGGCTGCCGCCGTTTATCTCCGAATCTGGGACGAAAAAATTAGAAATTTTCGCTGGGAAAAAATGTTCGAGCGACAACTCATTCGTTGCCGCAAATGGCTACACACACGAGCGAGCTGTGTTAAGCGCCACGTGTGCGAGCCACAGCGTTTGACACTTGTTCTTCTTCCAAGGAGAATGAAACTTGTCTCGTCGACTTGACAAAAAAATGTGATTCCACGCTGACGCTATCTATACGCGTCTTTTTCGAATACTTATCAATCAATATATTCCATATCGCGCATAAATCGAGCGCGATCACTTACTTTTTTCAAGCAGTGCGCGGTCTGTGTACTTAATTAACTGCGATACGCACCGGCCGCATGTGTTTAATCGAATGCTTGGAATTCCATTAAACTCGGGTCAAGTGCGCATCATGACGCTCGCGTTGCGTCACTCGCGGCTAAACTTCGCGTCTTCCGATCCGGGCGTTCGCGATAACGTTTTTTCGCTCGAAAAAAAAAAAAAAAATCGGAAAGATACAAGAAGAGAACAAAGAGAAAAGAGAGACGCGAAGAGAAAGTTGAAAAAAAGTAAAACAAACAAAAAAATAAAAAGCGCCTACGAGGAAATTTAAATCGCGAATTATGTCCGCGGTGATATTTTATGTTTTTTTTTTTATTTGTATAGCAATGTGTTGATAAAACGCAATCGACGCGATTGATGTTTATTTGAGAAAGCGATGCATTTCCCTCAATGGATGATGCAATCAATACAATATCATATTGACCGCAACGATGTAACAAAAGATATTGGCGAAATTAACTGCTCGCTCGATCGCGCATATGCAAATTGGCTCCGCGTGACGTAAGATGATCGGGAGATGCGCTAGATATCTTGCGCGACAACATCGATGACACCGACGATTACGAGCGCCCGTTGATGCAGTCCCACTTCTGAGGGTCAATCGAGATCTCGAGATTGATTTTCTTCATCCATTCCTGTAGGTGAAATGTAAAAAAACATCCAACACTGTTTTAAATCGAGATCGTTCCCGCGATCAATTGAAAGTCGCTCTTCGGAGATTTGCTGTTAATTAAAATCTTTCGAAGATGAACGTGCGACGAGAGCGTGGCAATTCTTGCCAAGAAAACACGGCGATAATTATCTCGCGGCCGGCACATCCTCCTCCGGGAAAATTCCTGAGACGTTGTAACGCGCGCCGCGTTTGCACATCCATTAAAACAATTGGCAATGTTTGACGAACGTTTTTTCTCAGCGGCGAGAAGTTTGCGCGAGATGAGACGCGCAGCTTATCCGTTGTCTTATGATGAACGTTCTGCCTTCATTCGTTTCGACAGTACTTAGTTTCCGGTTGATGGAATTTCTGATCTCAAAAAAGAATGCGCAAACAGATTACGTAAGAGATTACGACTTCGACAATTTACAAAAGAAAACTTTGTGAAAAGAAGAGAACAATCTTTCTTTTTTTTTTTTTTAAATTCAAATTGCAAGAGGATTAACTGACTCGGCGTTTATTTAAATTAAATGCGCGCAGATCTTCTGCACTTCTTCAGCGTATTATCACGTGCGTCACGAGACGCTGCCGCCTCGGTAAACAAAATTAAACCGACGGCGGGCGACGCCGACCGCATTTGCAGCGTTTGCGCGAGACATGCGCGAGCGCGCGTGTCCGCCCACCTGACTTGGAATAACCGACGATTTCGACATGTAGCGCTAAAAATAAAGTGTTTTCCCGCCTGTTTTTCAACATAGACGTTCATTACCATTCGCAGTTCTTCGCTCCGACGAAATATCGGCGTGCTCCCGCCGACGTTTCTCCATTGTCTATAACATTACGTGCGCAAACCGTCGCGCGCGACGGTTTTCGGTACAATAAATTCCTTTTAAAAAATTATGAGAATCACTTGACGCTACAAGATTTATTTTATACGTGGTTTTTTATGTTAAAAATATTTTTCTGCTGTTTGTAAATAAATAAAATTTTTAAATAACTCGGGATAAATCAAAAAGTTTTCCGTGCGGATCGCAATTTTGTTGGTTTTCGCTCGCGCGATTTCGACGAAACCGTGAGAAACGTGCGTTTGATCTCAGTTGGTGACAGCCGCTCTTGCTGTGCGTGTTCGTTGATTTTTAAACGAATACACTTACCTTCCTCGCTGAGAGCGGTATGGTCGTCTCCCTGGTGTATATCGGTACGTCGAGGTCGCTGACGCTGCTGCTGATACTGGGCGCCCGCGAGTCGGATCGTCCGTTGAGCGGCACCGTGAGATGCGTCGGCCGCAGCGGATGCGACTCCGCGATGTAGCCCTCGCCAAAATCCTCGTCGTCTCGGTCCATCTGTAAACGCGAATTTTTAATTAAAAAAAAAAAACTTCAATTACATGTAAAATTGGATAATAAAACTTGAATGACACAGATAGTCGACCACACTTGGCTGAAAGTCTTACATATGACGATCCAAGAAACATTTTTTTTTTTTAATTTTTCACGTGTTATATATCTTCTATGTGTTTTTTAATCAATAATTTTGTTTTTCTTTTATGTGTGAGAGAGAGAGAGAGAGATTAGAAGACCGAGCGATTAAAAATATTCGAGAAGCAACAAACAAATCCTGTTGTCACGAGGCTTCGGTTGTCACTGGTCGGTTTTCATAGTTTTCTGCGCCGCGCGTATAGCGCACGTAAAATTAGCACAAGTATCGTGACAACGGTACGCTTTCCCTGTCAAATATTTGGCCGTTGATCAAGGCTAGTAACCCGATGACACACTCCTTGTGTGCGCTCTTCTTGTCTCACGACCATTCAGGAACAATAGAAGACCCCACCTCCCCGCTATCAGGTTCTCAGCTTCGTCGCGATCGATCGTGATTGTATACTCTTCGAAGTCCATCATAACGTGGATAATTTCTGGAGCTGAATGATTTCCTCCTCGCCGTACCTTCAATTTCCGGAGAACGTTGATAAAGAAATCGACGGGGGGTAATAAACGCGCCTCCGGTAATCGCGTACCTACAAAAGCGTTTCTCTCTCTCTCTCTCTCTCTCTCTTTCTCTCGAGCGGATTTAGACGAGCGACAATGAAGAAACGATGTTGGACTTTCATCAAATCCTACACAGCGTCGTTTTACGATGGCGCTTCAAAGTCTTTGATGCGCCAAGAGAAGATGAGAAACTCGCGTGAAGAGTATCCGCTTCAAGTAATATTCGCGTCGTGGACGTATGTTCGAACTGCGCGTTGCGCGAAGTTCTATAATTAAAATGAAGCTAACGAACGATAAAGACGAAGGCCACGTATGTCGCATAAAATGATGGTCGCAATTTTGAAAGAAGAGAATTATTAACTCGGATCTCTCTCTCTCTCTCTCTCTCTCTTTCTCTCTCATGCATGTGTGAGTGTGTGTAGGATTTACCTCGATGAAGATCTCAGGTGGAGGGTTAAGAGTCCGGAGTTCGTACGACTCCGACGTCTCGCGAGGAGTCCCCGGACGATCGGACAATTTTCGGGGATACGTGGCAAAACGCACGGAAGAAAATCGGAAATCGCGGAAAGGACGAAATCAAGATAAAGAAAAAACCACGAGTATTTCTCGCGAAAGAGAGAAAGGCGGGGGTATACGATCGCGCGGGAGGAAAAATGCCGGAAAAACGTTAGATCGGCGACGATCGGATTATCGCATCCGTGCGGCCGGGGTGTGCTCTTGAGACTGAGCTAGAGGACGTGACGACGCCAACGTTCGTCGTGTGGACGACGTCGTGTTCGACCGAGAGACGGCTAGATTTAATTTTAACGCACTTGTTGGTGTTGTACGACGCGGCACCTCCTCTTCGCCACCACCGTCGTCGTATCGGACGAGCCTCCGAGTTTCGCAGAGACGAGGGAAGGCCGCGATCGTCACCTCGTTCTCTCTCCCTTGGCCTCTCCCTCGGCAAAGTCGCCAATTGATACGAGAAACTCCACGCAATTGATTTCACTTGACCCCGCATCGTGCGATCGGCTCCTGAAAAATTATTGCCGCGGTCTGTAAAATCGCGCTTGAATTTTTTCCTCGATCGGACGAAATTCGCACATTTTTGTAATATATGTAATTTTTGCAACGCGTGTAATTTTTGTAACATTATTTTTTACGTCTCGTTGTTTATCTCAACTATGTCTAATCTTTTTGAAACAAAAAAATCACGCGAGAATTGGCTTTTTGTTAACATCTCGTGCCGATAAATAAATAAAAAAAGTATCGCATAATTCGTAGATTGTGTCAATAAAATCGTCACGCGGGGCTGCGTGTGAATTAAAACTCATCTTCGCGCTCATACGTTTCTATTTCAGCATCACGCGCTTCATTTCGCAAAACATAAATACCAAGCTATTGATATGCTCCTAGACGACACTGTGTTGCAAACATACGCGGACATGTGTGTGTACAAATTTTATTGTTTATCGAGCGTGATCGTCTCGGTACGAACATGGCCGACAAGAAAAGGTGTCGCAGGTTTCGGCAAATATATTTGCTATAAAGAGCGAGACCGTACTTAGAAGTCGCGCGCATCTTTCAAGTTGACAATATTCGCTTCGTTAACTCGAACTGTAACTGCGACTTTGTTATTTTACCTTTTAGCTTGCGTAATTGTTGTATTTTTTTTTTGCAACCAGTCCGAAGATTTGCGCGAGATCCGCAGTCCGTGGATTTGAATTACTCGAGTTTGCGAATCGCCCGCAGCGAACGGACAGCAAGCGCCACCTAGCGGCGGCGTGCGATACTTACGAGTCGATATATATCGATAGCGCGTCTTTCTTCTCGATGTGCGACACTTCGATTGTCTCGAAATCACGGACAATGGGTGCGTTCAGACAACTCAATAGTTGCACAACGGTTGAGAGATAATCACTTCTGATTGGATCATACTTTTGGAACCGTAGCAGATTTTGAAGAATGGTCCTATCATAAGTAATGATCTCTCAACCGTTGCGTTTTTTGAACGCACCCATTGGGTGCGTTCGGACAACTCGACGGTTGCACAACGGTTGAGAGATAATCACTTTTGATTGGATCATACTTTTGGAACCGTAGCAGATTTTGAAGAATAGTCCTATCATAAGATGATGATCTCTCAACCGTTGCGTTTTCTGAACGCACCCATTGGGTGCGTTCGGACAACTCGACGGTTGCACAACGGTTGAGAGATAATCACTTCTGATTGGATTATACTTTTGGAACCGTAGCAGATTTTGAAGAATAGTCCTATCATAAGTAACGATCTCTCAACCGTTGTGTTGTCTGAACGCACCCATTGGGTGCGTTCGGACAACTCGACAGTTGCACAACGGTTGAGAGATAATCACTTATAATTGGATCATACTTTTAGAACCAAAACAGATTTTGAGGAATAGTCCTATCACAAGTAATGATTTCTCAACCGTTGCGTTTTCTGAACGCACCCATTGGGTGCGTTCGGACAACTCGACGGTTGCACAACGGTTGAGAGATAATCACTTCTGATTGGATCATACTTTTGGAACCTGTGCAGATTTTGAAGAATAGTCCTATCATAAGATGATGATCTCTCAACCGTTGAGTTGTCTGAACGCACCCAATCTAACTTATCTAACCTCTCGCAAATGCTCGTTTCACGACGTAATAACAAACGTAGACCTCGCAAAAGTAATAAAAGATGACGAAAAAGTTCGAATACAAGCTAAAGTGCGCGTTAATTATTCAGTAAAAAAAAAAAAATAAAACTTCTACGCAAAGAACAATTGTAACATTTACATTTATTTAGCAAAGTATCGGCGACCTGACAAATAGATTCAAAAATAAATTTTTGCTAGTGTCTATGTTACAATGGTGCTTTTGACACAGATTTTAAACGGTGTCAAAAAGGTAAGATTTTTATTTAATTATATAAATACTGGGCAGAATTCTTTTGATATCGGACAAGTGAATTTTTTTTTGGATTGCAGATACCTAGAAAATATTTACGCTCTTCGTTCATCGACAGACTGCACCTTCATGTCAGAGGAGGAACGGGAGGATCTGGTTTACCTCGATATGGAGGAATAGGAGGCGCTGGAGGTAATGTCTATGTGGTTGCGCAAGAAAAACTGACACTTACGGATACTGCTAAGAAATTGAAGACCAAGCGAGTCAAAGCGGAAATGGGAGGTGATAGTTCAGCAAAAGGAATTATAGGCATATCTGGCGAAGACGAGATCATTCCCGTTCCAGTCGGAGTTACGGTCTACAATCAGAATGGGGTGAAGTTAGGTGAACACAAATTTCCACAATATTGCCTGTACAACTGTGTATCTTTGTCGTTATTTTATCTTTGTGTGAAAATTGTAGGAGAGTTGGACAAGGAAGATTCCAAACTGTTGGTGGCTAAAGGTGGCACAGGCGGTTGCGAGGACACAGGCTACAACGGACTGAAGGGTGAAACTCAGACGATAACTCTGGACTTGAAATTGATCGCGGACGTCGGTCTGGTCGGTTTTCCCAATGCTGGCAAGAGCACATTTCTGGCCGCCGTTTCAAATGCCAAACCCAAAATCGCCAATTATCCATGTACGAATTATTTTTTCGAGGAACTTTATCGATATTCGTTTCGAACCATATAAAATTTTCAACAAACTACAATTCAATTGTTATATTTTCTCTCTGCAGTTACGACCATAAGACCCAAATTGGGAATTATGACCTATTCGGACTATAGAAAGATTAGCGTCGCCGATTTGCCAGGCCTGATCGAGGGCGCGCACAAGAATATCGGAATGGGCCACAACTTTCTGAAGCACATCGAGAGAACGAAATTGCTTCTGTTCATTGTGGACGTGCAAGGTTTCCAATTGTTGGTCAATCGCAATTATCGATCCTGCTTGGAAACCGTGGTCTTGCTGAACAAGGAGATCGAGCTCTACAAGCCAGATCTGTTGGAAAGGCCGGCTATGCTAATAATTAACAAAATGGACACCGCTAACGCTGACAACATATTCAAGGAAATCAGGCCGATGTTAAAGGATTTGCCCGGTTTCGTGTCGAATTGTCCGAAAGACATGCAGCCCGAGCAAATCGTGCGGTTCGACGATATTCTGACGGTGTCTTTAAAAACAAACAATAAAAACGAGATAAACGCAATCAAGGATAGAATACGAGCTATCTTGGACAGGTACGAGGAACAGCAATATTTCGCCGAATACGGCGAAGGACTGGATTTACAATTGAAAGACAGACTGAAGCAGCGGTTCGAGGAGCACGCGCCGATTGTTGTGTAAACTTGTTGTATATAAAATAAACACTTTTTTTTACTAAATCATTAAATACTGCTAACAACTCGTTATATAAGTACCTATGTACATATCGAGACGCAAATTTCAAAACTAAAGTAGTTTTGCTTCAAAGAACTCCGTAACAAATCCGATGGTTTGATAGTTATTCGCGATGAAAGACTGAGATTAACATCTACCCAATGTTTTTGTCTTAAATCCCCTTCAACGATACTAGTTTACACTTTATGTTCGCGTCTTGCACCCTTCCGACCCAATCCTCTCCGAAAGCTGCTTTTTTCTGCACCGTCACGGCCTCGATCGCATCTCTGTCCCGAAGAACACCCGCGTTCGCCATCCACCTCTCGGCGCCGTTCCACGCGATCATCACGCCGTTGTCGTTGCACAACTGGGGCGGCGTTCTGACGAATCTGAAACCCTTTTCCGAGCAAACGACCTCCAACGCTTTCGCCAGAAAATTGTTGCACGCCACCCCGCCCGACACCACCTGGACTTACCCAAAACATTCAAACGTAAATAAAATTAAAAAAACTCACTTTTTGATTGTCTTCGATGTTTGAGATTGTTTTCGACACGTACCAAGGTTTGCTTTTCCTTTGGGAACAGATCTAGATTGCTGACAAACTCCATCGCTGTTTGAGTTTTGTGACATATGTGCTTTATGACAACAGTTTGAACCGCGGCGCAGAGATCGTACACGTCGGGAATCACCGCGCTGCCGTCAACGCCAAATTGCGTTTCCTGTTTGTTAATGTGCCTCAGACACTGGTTGTACACACCCGCGAAACTGAACTGACAATCTCTCTGTTGCGTCATGATATTTTGGAAGACGAATTTCGTCGGGTCCGTCGCTTTGCTCGCCGCGGCCTCCAACGCTTGACCACCGCTCATCTGAGAAAATTCTGGCATGTTCACGAGCTTGAGTCTGCGAGCGATCTGAGAAAAAAAACTTAAATATAAAAACACGCCATATAAGTAACAAGAAATTTGATGCAAGTATTTTATTAAATTACGCACTTTATCCAAAACTTCACCCGGTGGATTGTCCAGCGTTGTGCCCAGAGTGTAAAACCGATCGACGTTCTCAACAATTCCTAATATACTGTGACCACCTGATACGAGCAATACGAGATAGGGAAAATCTACCTGCAACACACGTGAACGATTAGAACGTTGCGCGTAACGTACTTGTGCGCGATTGATTAAAGAACTTACCGCCTCCACCATGCGCACCGTTAGCGCATGAGCTTCCATGTGGTCTATTGGTATGTACGGTTTGTCACCTACTCTACTGAGATACTGGCCAAAGGCGTTTCCAACGGCGAGCGACAAAAAGAGACCTGGTTTGATTGTAGCCGCGACAGCATCTATGTCCTTTAATCTCAGATTGGCCGCCCTCAGCGCGGTCTCGCAGACATCGGTTATGTTCTGTCTGTGTATGTCACTTGCAATTTTAGGTATTATACCACCGTACCTAGAAATAAAAAGATGTAATGAAATATCTTTCTAAGTGTGTCAAATTTTCTCACGCAATCAAAAGATATTGTATTCATCATCATATTATTCAAACAATCGATCAAATGTGAATTACAACACATATCTCTTGAATTACTTCAAGTGAGTTAGATGCTGAGAATGTATCGCCTCGCCCAATATTTCTCCCGCTGTATTTACAATCCCGCATCCCGTGTCGTCGCAACTGGTCTCAATTCCCAAAATAATGGCCGGTCTGCTCTCCGCGTAGCTTTGCATCACGTTTAACGCTCGGTTACACACATGCGAGACGAAAGTTTTCCGAGCCAACGAATACGCGTGATTTGCCATTTGCAAGCGTGTATCGCAGAGAGTTTCTTAAAAACACAAAGTTATTTGAAGTTGCGAGACGTTGATCGCTTCTACAACGTTGGGACAAGCAAACATGTTCCTTCATTAAAATGTAATCATATCTTCGTTGCAAAGTTTTGTACAAAATTCATACGTTTCTTGTTTACAGCCGAACGACCATGTGAGACGCGTTCACATGCGCGAACAGCTGAGAAGAGGTTGAACTCGTTTAAATACCGGTTGCGCGCGCGTTCGAGAACGTTCTTTGAACGCGGTTAAGCCTATGTCACACTACGGATTGGGATTGAGATTAGATTGAAATTTGACCAATTAGAAAAAAGAAAACCAAACCTAAGTTTAGTGATCTTCTCTCTGATTGGCCAAATTGCAATCCAATCTCAATCCTAATCCGTAGTGTGACATAGGCTTAATGGGTGCGTTCGGACAACTCAACAGTTGCACAACGGTTGAGAGATAATCACTTCTGATTGGATCGTACTTTTGGAACCAAAGCAGATTTTGAAGAATAGTCCTATCGTAAGTGATGATCTCTCAACCGTTGAGTTGTCTGAACGCACCCAAACTCAACGGTTGAGAGATCATTGCTTACGATAGGACTATTCTTCAAAATCTGCTTCGGTTCCAAAAGTACGATCCAATCAGAAGTGATTATCTCTCAACCGTTGTGCAACTGTCGAGTTGTCCGAACGCACCCAATAGGTGCGTTCAGAAAACGCAACGGTTGAGAGATCATTACTTGTGATAGGACTATTCCTCAAAATCTGTTTTGGTTCTAAAAGTATGATCCAA